TCAAAAAAAAAACAAAAAAACCCCCAAAAAAACCAAGTATAATATTTTAATAAAAGCATACTGTTAAAATTAAAAAAAATATTTTATCACCCAAATAAATGGTTCAATGTCATCAGATATTTCCTTCAGCTAAAACGCTCTCACCCAGAGTTTCAGATTGCATCAATTCCTGAAAGATGCCTTCTCTGACCACCCCTTACAAATTTAGTCCCTGCATTTCACTCATTGAATTGTCTTCACATTTACTACCATCTAGTGATCCTGTTCTTTTATTCTTTACCTGTTTTTGGTCTGTCTGGCAACCATTGCAATGTGAGGACCATGAAAGCAGGGAACTGACATTCCTTGTTCATTGCTGCTCCTCAAGCTCTAGGATAATGCCTGGCACCTAATCAGAGCTCAGTAAATATTTGTTGAATCATTTAATGAATTTCATTCAGCTTCCAGTCTGCAGAGATTATCAAAATCCTTGTAGGCCACTACAATTATGCTCTGGTTATTATTACAAAGGAAACACATAGTGAAGGATTCTATGGCTGGCATTTTGATCTTATTCCCTTTTATTATCATCCTAATCTTAGCTCATGTAAATGATGATCACATTATATCCATCAGGATACTATGCAAGAAAAAAAAATCAGGATTGAACTACCAATTTGGCAGTAACTTGCCAGTGCAGTTGGGAAGTGATGCACTCAAAGTGAAGCTAGAGATTCAATTAAATGATATAACAGTAGAGGTCAGTTTTCATTTGCAGGAATGTTTTGGTGTTCAGGTTTAGTTTTACGTTAATAGCATTATTAGATTATGCTCTTGACTTAATAAAAGGGTGGGTTCACTTTTTTTTTTCTAAATTTAAGAAAAAAATTCAGTAGTGGAAGTTAGTGATACCGTACATTTGTAAGATGTAGCATGATTTAATATTACTTTTGATTTAAAATGTATTTGAAATATGAATAGGGAATGTATAAATATTTAAAAAATGAAAACAACTAACAAAATGTTCTTTAGCTCATATTGTGGATAATTAGAAGAGGATATTTCAGAGTACAAATGCATTGTTTTGACAGAGTGGAATATTTTTTATCCTTCATAACTTTCTGCTTTGATTTTTTTTTGATGATCTTATTTTTGATATGTTGACAGAGAAGGCTTGTCTTATAATATAACTAGACTTGTTAGACCTAAAAATTATTAATTTTATTCTATGCATACTGTTTTCCATCCCATATGAGGAAAACAGCAGAAGCACTGATGAATTAGACTTAGCCCATAAAAGAAAGTTCCAGACATTTTTCAAAATTTCCTGTCTAGGTGTCTTGGAATTGCTATGTGCTTATTTAACTACTGGTGGAATAAAGAAAGAACAGTTTTCAGGTGTTTATGTAAGCACAAACTGTTTTGGTTTTGTTTCCAAAAAAGTACAGTAAGCATTTTAGTTAACTATTTCTACATAATAAATTACCACAGAATTGACTGGCTTAAAACAGTAATAAATATTTCTCTCACAGTTTCTGTGAAGGATTAGGGAGCAACTCAGCTGGATTTTCTAGCTGGGGTGGGGGTGGTCTTCCATGAGGTTGCAGTCAAGTTGTTAATCAGGGCTACAGTCATCTGAGGGCTTGACTGAGGCTGGAGGATCTGTTCCCAGATGGCTCACTAACATGAATGGTAAATATGTGATGGCTGTTGACAGGAGACCTCTGTTCCTCAAGGTGTGTACTTCTCCATAGGGATGGGTGAAGGTCTTTACAACACGGTGCTTGACTTCACCTAGAGCAAGTGATTCAAGTGAGCAATGTGGAAGTTGCTATACTTTTTTATGACCTAACATCAGAAGTCACACACCACCACACCTACCGTGTTCTATTAGTCACACAAATCAATCTTTATACAATGTGGAAAGGGACTACATGAGGGCATAAATACTAGGAAGTAAGAATCACTGGGGACATTAGGAGGTTGACTATCACATTGAGAAATATCAGGATTATTAAAAAATCTACAACTGTTATGAATCTTGACTTGATTATCACTTGTTCACTAAAAAGAACTTGGCAAATTATAGAGGAGTGGTGGTGGTGCAGAACTGAAACAGCATTTAACCAAAGGCCTAAAAAGTGTACAAATTACACCCCTCCCCCCTAATATTATGAACATCTGTCATCGTGTTGGATAAAGCAAATAAATTAGTATTATCAAATCTGTTTCATAAGATTATAAACATCCTCTGCTTTGAGTGGGGAATGATATCAGATAATTGACAAGAAAAAAATAGAGGAAGAGAGAGATTGGAGAATAAAATAATTGCAAGCAGAGAAAGCAAAAAGTAGTAGAGAAAGAGATGGGAAAGGA